AGAGCTTATATACACCCAGCAGCGGCTATGAGTCATGGTGGGAAAACCCGAGAAGTAGCCGGTGAATAGTTTCGTTGCTAAGATACGGTAACATCTGGTTGGTTGCTAGGGAAGGCGGCACATTGGAATGTGATAGCAGGTGGTGGGCTGCTGCGCAGTTAGTTTGTAGGGGAGACGTCCACTACAAAGTACTTTCGTTTAATACATCCTCTGCCTGAGGATGTATTAAACGAAAGTACTTGCTGCTTGTCTTTCCTTTCTCCAGTGGTTATTGTGCATATATATATATATATATATATATATATATATATATATATATATATATATATATATATATATATATATATATATATATATATATATATATATATATATATATTATTTTAGGTTAGGTTAGGAATCCGTTACATAAAACAATTGTACTGCACCGTTATCTTTTATTGAGTATGATCTAAAATCACGGTATAATGACACTAGTATCAATGTAATACAATGGAAATGTAAAAAGTAGCAACTTAATCTAAAATTACAGACTCAGAGTACAGTGAAAATGGATGTCTGACATAAGCCCCCCGACGAAAGCCACCCAGACAAAAGCCCCCTACTTTGATCGGGGTGGCTTTTGTCTGACAACCCTAACCCTAACCCAACCTAACCTAACTTAACCTAACCCTAACCTAACCAATAATTAACCACAGAGAAGAACAGTATATTTTACCCTCAACTATTTAATTATGTCCGTAACTTTTGAAAGCCCTTACTGTTGTCAGACAAAAGCCACCCCGATCAAAGTAGGGGGCTTTTGTCTGGGTGGCTTTTGTCGGGGGGGCTTTTGTCGGGGGGGCTTTTGTTTGTACCCCATTGAGGATAGTGTCTTAGTATAAAATCGCAATGCTGTGAAACAAAATCTTAATATTTAATCTCAGTACCGCAGCAAAAGTCACATCAATATTTTTTAACCAATGCTTTAATATTTCTTACCTTATAGTATTATGTCTTCCAACGAAGTAAATAACTGGATCGAAAACACAAGAGAACTTAAAAGTCGTCTAGCCTCCCCTCGTCTTGTCACGATGGAGACTTGTGCAGAACTGAAGTGAATTGCTTGTAACTGGTGGATTGGTCGGCTGTACATGAACTGTTATGACCCGAGACTGCATGGTTTTGCAGCTACTAGAGACGTTAATCCTTCCCTTTGTATCGGCGTTAAGTTAATCCTCGTCGTGTCTGACCTAACACCTGACCCACACCACATGAGCTCACTGGCGTACTTGTTTGAAGTTGTTTCCTTAATCCTCAACAGGTTACAGGTTGTGTGTGTGGCGGGGGGCCTCATAGCAAGGGTGTAGCTCATGACGTGGCCGTGATGATGTGGGTCAGGTGTTAGGTCAGACACGACAAGGATTAACTTGCCGCCGATACAAAGGGATGGATTAACGTCTCCAGTAGCTGCAGATATGGGTGATGAGCAGACCCAAAAGTGCCGCCCCCCAAAAGTGCCGCCCGGGGCGGACCGCCCCCCCCCTAGCTACGCTGGTGCCACACGGCACCTCCAGCGCCAGACTGTCTATCATATAACTTATATTATACAAGAAAACCACCTTAGAGTTTCCATCCATCCTGAGTGCTAGACAACATTATACCACGAATTCCTACAATATATATATATATATATATATATATATATATATATATATATATATATATATATATATATATATATATATATATATATATATATATATATGTGTGTGTGTGTGTGTACATGATGCGGATCTGTGCAGCATCTCTGAATGGGGAGGTATAAAATTGGTTAAATTCAAGAGTAATAAAACTCAATATTTACCAATTACACCTTTCCAAATTAGATGATCTCCCACCAATCACATTTCAGGACACAATCATTCTGCCAAATTCTAAAATGGATATGCTAGGCCTGACCATTTCCTCTAATATGTCATGGAAGCCACACATCCTGAACATTGCTAAAGTTGCCTCCCGAAAGTTGGGAATGCTGTACAGATGCCACAGCTACTTCACTCCTGAGCAGTTGTTTCAAGTACTGTACGTACATAAGGGATTCATTCGCCCTAACTTGGAGTACTGCTCTCATATCTGGGGTGGCTCTTCCTCTGTCCAACTGTTAGATAGGGTGGAATCAAAGTCATTTCGTCTTATTAACTTTCCTCCTGTAGTCAGGGCCGGCGCTACCCACTAGGCGAACTAGGCGATCGCCTAGGGCGCCAACATCTGGGGGCGCCACAAATTCAGGGCAAACTTGGATAAAATTAAAAATGAAGGGAAAACTGTGGTGGACACTGTGGTGGAGCCGTGGAGGGTCGGAGCAGGATGTTAGAAGGGTGGGGGGTCGGAGGGAGGCGAGGGTAGGTAGACGGTAGCCGACTGTGTTTTCTTTTTTAATATTATTCGTTAACCCCCCGGAGGGACTAACCCGGGTCCTTATCTTTGGCGGCCTGGAGAACTGTCGAGCAGTGACCTGAAGGCTGACATCTGAGGAACCCTTCTCCCAACCCCACCATCCCCTCCCCTCCCTTACTGCCAGGGCGGCTGAGCCGCCCCTTCCCTGTCTTTGTCGGGGTGAGGCAAGGTTACCTGACCTCTGAAGTTTACGTCAAGAATTTATTGACTTAATGAAATAACAATAATTGGTTATTTGCATGGGTGATGTAATAAAGCCACAAGATGAAAACAATGTAGTAATGGGTTACTGTACCTACATTAGCTTATCAAAACTTTCAAGGGGGCGCACATCTAAAGGCTTGCCTAGGGCGCCAAATCATCTTGCACCGGCCCTGACAGCGAGCCTTTTTTGACATAAGGATTTTTAATCACATGGCTGCATGTCACCGCAACCTAGCTCTAGATGCTGCACACAGGAGGAACGAGAACGACAAGATTAGGGCATATGGGGAAAGAATTCAGAACGTTGATCAAGACAGCTTCATTCCTCTGGTGTTCACAACCTCTGGCGGGATGGGACCAACTGCAAGACGCTTCTACGCCAGACTAGCGGAGGTGTTATCTGAACGGAAGCAGCAGCCCAAAAGTTGTGTTACAGCCTGGTTGAGATGTCGACTGTCCTCTCTGATTAGGTCTGCATTGCTTTGCCTCAGGGGAACGAGAGCATCGGCCCCAAAGCCGACAGCAGTCGTAGATATCGACTGAATGCCGCGTAGATCTGCGGCTCAACTAACTCAACACAGCCAGGGTAGCTACTTATGTATTAGGATAGTCAGTGCCGGATTAACCATGAGGCACTTGAGGCACTGGCCTCAGGCCCCCCGACTCTAAGGGGCCCCCAAATCCAAACATTCTCGAAGTTGAAGCATATAAAACATGAACTTCGTTTAACGATGTCCTAGCAACGTCTCAATTTTCTGTCTCTTACGAACATAGAATGTGTTATTTTGCAGAAGCTTAATATTGATGAAATCATTGATAAATTTTGGTATATTTTGTTCTTGCTATATATATATACCTTGAGGGTAGGGGCCCCAAGTTGATCTGTGCCTCAGGCCCCTATTAAGCTTAATCCGGCGCTGACCTGGATAGTTAATTTAAGGTAATAAAATGGCGGCGAAGGTGTGGCTATTGGGGGAGGCTGGAGTCCAATTAAAAAAAGTAGTAGTAGTAGTAGTAGAAGTAGTATTAGCAGCAAAAGTAGTAGTAGTAGTGGTAGTAATAGTAGTGGTAGTAATAGTAGTGGTAGTAATAGTAGTGGTAGTAATAGTAGTGGTAGTAATAGTAGTAGTAGTAGTACAGTAGTAGCATCAGTAGAAGTAGTAGTAGTAGTAGTAACTGGTGGTATTTCAGACTTGGCGGGGTAGTGAGCCGCCACCTGTAGGAGGAAAGTGTAAACCGGACATCAACAGAGTGAGGCTCAACAACCACAGGTGATAATGACTGGAGGGAGGCAGAGCTGTGGTGTATAACCCGTATGATAACTTTACTTAACCATGTGGGTCAAACCTGATGAAGTCCTTATGGCTGGGGGGTTCTGGTAAGTGGTATCATGTGTTGGTTTAGTAGTTAAGTGGGGGTATCGGGAAGGGTGTTTTTAACGACTGGTTGGTAGTTATACGTCACTAAGACAAGGGATGGGTGGCACCACTACTGTATGGGTGTCAGGTGCATCTTTTTCACCTTTTTGTTCTCAGGTGTGAAGTTAAATGTCACTTTTTTATATACTAATTTTGATAAAGAATCGTTTTATACATAACCTGGAATTCTCGTGTGTTTTGTTTTGATTTTGAATGAATGTCCTTTATTGGGCTAAGGCTTATGGAGATATATTATCCTTTAACACTAGCAAAGACAATAATTCCTTCCAAAGTGGACGAAACTCAGGTATGGGAAAATATGGGGTTAAAACACACACACACAAAAAACTTTAGAACCCTATCAAATCTTTCCTAACCTAACCTAACCTAACCTATGTCAGCAAAATTCTTACCATTATCTAGACAGGACTAAGATACTGTACAGCAATGTTGATGGATTTTAAGTTTGCTAAACATATTTTCAAGTTTGGTGATATTATATTTGGTAATTTCTGAGAACACCTCTATCAGCAGAAGGAGTTATTAAATTTGGCTCATTTTTTTCCCCACATATTCTTATTATTATCGTAGCTATTTTAAGAGGCAACAACTTTTTATTTTAATTACTGTATAATTATTTTTTTTTTTACTCTTCTCAATGTATGATCATAAATCACCTGTAGTGGACAGGGTATGAAGGATGAAGTGCGAGAGTAAGCAGAGGCTTACATTCATTAGAGAGGCGTAGAGTTTGGGGAGATATGATAGAGGTGTACAAGTGGGTAAGTGGGATTAACAAGGGTAAAATGGAAGATGTTCTGAAGCTCAATAATAACGAAATAACTAGAACAAATGGCTTTAAATTAGATAAATTCCGATTCAGAAAGGATATGGGCAAGCACTGGTTTGGTAATAGAGTTGTGGATATGTGGAATAGGCTACCGAGTGCTATAGTAGGATCGGGGACGCTGGGGAGCTTCAAGACGAAGTTGGATAGGCACATGGAAGTGCTGGGATGGGTGTGAAAGGGATCTGCCCTGTATGGGCCAGTCGACCTCCTGCAGTATCACTTTCTTACATGTTCTTATGTTCTTAAAACAACGGTGAAAAACTGATCATATGACACTTAAAATTATGTCTATATGTGCTTTGTACGCGAAGAAATTAACTACAGTACTTTCTGTAAATATTCCTCAAAAACATCTGCTGAGTTAGTGCACATTGTCGTCTGCTGTTTGTTTACAGCCGACTGGCTTGGTCCACGCGTTCTCTCGCATCCACAAAAAACCGTAATAATCACACCATGATGCTTCAACAAAGATGATTTCATTGGTACCAGATATCAAAATAGGTATAATATTTTATGTTTAATATGGGTTAGGTTAGGTTAGGTTAGGTTAGGTTAGGTTAGGTTAGGTTAGGTTAGGTTAGGTTAGGTTAGGTTAGGTTAGGTTAGGTTAGGTTTGGTTTGGTTTGGTTTGGTTTGGTTTGGTTTCTTGGGTTGGTTAGGTCAGGTCAGGTTAGGTTTTTTGGGTTGGTTAGGTCAGGTTCTAGTAAATGTCACCCCTCTTAAAATACTTACAATATTGATAAAGAACATACAGGTAAACCTCAATAAATGATAGGGTTAGGTTTCTGAAAACCCATTGCTAAGTGAAATACTGTAGGTAGGGAGCATTATAACATGGGGTTCAATGGTATACACTCCCAGCCAGTCCCCAGACACACATGTATCACCGACCCCAAAATTCCTGCAATACTTCTGTCAGTACAACACAATTAAACAACACTCACCACATCATAATGAATAAAGCCTCATCATCAACACATGTCCCCTTCAAGGCTCTTGTAGGTGGAGTGGAGATGTGACCTTGACTCCCACACAGCCTCTGGGGAGTCTCATGCTGCTTCATAATGTCAAGTTTCGCCTCAGAGACATGGTTGTCTTGGATGCCTTGGCCCTTCCCAGACATTTTTAAAGATACAATCCACTTCACAGTCACAAAAACAGAGCGAAATATGATAACATAAGAACAGTGATCGCGGTTGACACTGCTAATATAATTTTCACAGTAACAGAAGACAAGCACTTCACAGTCACCATAACACAGTTCAGTCTAAATGGTAGTGCTGTCCTCTCACTATAAGACAAAAAACACTATAAGTACAATGTACGATGCTGAGTAGTCATTTAATTCATTGGTTCATGGAGCCGTGTGATGGCAAGTTTACGATCGACAAAGAACCAGTCAGAGGGCTGTAGTGAGTGGGTTGGCTGTGTGGTGGTGCATGAGTAGACTGACAAGTGAAGGTAGCAATGCATGGTTCATAGGGTTAAATAATGTTTCCTTATAAAATGTCACTGACTTGACACAGAAAAATCTAATTTTCATTGTTGGAATCCTTGCAAGACATTGATTAATTTGAGTATATACAACCCATAGTTTTCACTAGAGTTAAAAAATATTTCCACCAATGGATATTGATGGATATTCGCTGATTATCATTAAAGTTAATTTTTTGGTCGTATACAGTGAGATGATCTTAATTCATGGCCATCATTAAAGTGGAATATCGCTGAACGAGACGTCATTTATTGAGGACTTACTTTATTGTAAAAAAATGAAACATCCGTAAACTTTTTCTGGTGGTAGCGGAGTTCTCATACATTACCTTATACAGTGGTCCCTCGGTTAACGAACACAATTCGTTCCACAGAGTCGTTCGTTAACCGAATCCATTCTTTCAATGGGATATTGGGTAATTGGTTCCAGCTCGCCGAAAAGTACATACAAAGTAAAAAGAAATAAATGCAGTAAAGTACACTTACTTTGAGGTGTGTATGTAGAAGGTTCCTGGTTGATGATGATGATGGGAATTAGAAGTGGGGGTGGAGGAGAAGGGAGAAGAGAAGGAAGTGGGGATGGATGAGAAATCACCTTTCAGGGGACCCATGCTTGATGCAGTAATTTCACCAATAAAATTTTATGTTCACTAGGTGTAATTCAAGATTATTTTATTTAAATCAACACGGCACTGCGCTATATATTATCAATTGTTAACTAAATTTCAGAATGACCAATAATTTGAATGTAAAAATGCAAAAATATTCAAGACACCAACAAAATCGATGTTCACTCCACTGTCAACAAAGTTAAACAGACCCAACAAAATAGATGTTCACTCCACTGTCAACAAAGTTAAACAGACACTTTGGTGGGTGAGTCTACAATATGGGTGCCAAAAACTAGTTCCCTTACTGCATATATTATCAATATGTTAACTAAATTTTAAAATTACTAATAATTTTGATATAAAAATGCCAACATATTAAAGAGCACAACTTTCTTGATATTTACTCCACTGGAAACGAATGCAAACAGAACAGATTACTGAATTGGCAGACTAGCCCATCATGTTTTTTGTAAGATTTCATAGTCAAGCTTGTTAACCGAATTGAAGATCCTATGGTAGGTAATGTTAACCGAAATTTCAATCGAACCGTTCATTAACCGAGGACCACTGTATTCAAATCTCTTCACATGAATTTTCCCTGATCTACTTTTGGACGAATCAGAGGACAGAGGGACATTTTCATATATATGCAAAAGTTTCACATAGAGTTCATTAATGTTATGGCTCCTCATGACCTAAACACCAAAAATGCCTGAAAACAAGAAGAGAATCACATTTTCTCCTCTGCCATTGATTAAGTAAGATAATTTTTATAGGATTTGACTTTCCTGGGTTAAGAAAGGTTAGGTCAGCTTTGAATTATTGTGTGTTTTAACCACATTTTCCCTCACCTTTGAAGCCCTGCTCACTTTGGAAGGATTCATTGTCGTCACTAGTTAGGGTCATTTCTCCATAAAAAGCCTTAGCCCCAAGAACTGACTGCAGGAGGCATATGTTTTGTGATATTTGCCTTTATGTTTATACAGCACAGATATAATACATTTTCTGTCTTGGGAGGAGCTGCCTCTGTTTGCCAAATTTACTTTTTGTGATAGAATGTTAGATTTTTTAGATGCAACCACATTCTATATTTTATCAGTCATAAAATAAAGAAAATTAACATACCAAACCTAATCTAAATTATTACAGTTATTCTCCATTGTAATCCTCTAAAGTAGCAAAATTCCTTTCTATGTTGGTGGTAAAGTCATGTTTAGCTATCTTCTTCCTCTGCCAATTTAGGATGTAAAAATTATTTTGGCAAAACTTATATTTCTCCAAGTTGCTGATAAGGCCAGACCATTTTCGTCAAATATAATATTTTTATTATACAGTACTGTACGGTATGTTGAGTTTAAGAAAAGTCAAAGAACTGTCATTGAGTGTTGCTGTATTTTGTTCCAAATGTTTTTGGAGAAGAACGAGATGGTTATCAGTTATGGTGTTTTGTTGTAAAACCTGAGGAAAAGTAAAATACAGTCAGTCCTCGACTTACGACGGGTTATTAGACCCATTTAACGGTCGTGAAGTCGAATTGGCCGTAAGTCGAAAATGCGGAAAATAATACATAGAAAATCTAAAATGGGTGTCTTTTTTCTTCTCAGCACAACGAGAACTCTCACTTTTACGCTGCCAGCCATTTTAAAAGGAATTACAAACAAAAGTTTTGTCAGTACACAGCGATCACTAACGTTGGGACATGAAAATACGTAATTTGAAAAATATTTTATACGAATCGGTGTGGTCATATGTCCGGGTGGTCATAAGTCAGTAGGTCGTAAGTCGAGGAGTGGCTGTATAGAAGATAACTGTATTTCTTACCTCAACAACACCCTAAAATAGGGTGGAAGATTTGCAATTTTCAAATTTTATTTTTCCCAAATTCATATCATAAATAAATATGATCGTTCTACCCAGTGATGCCATGTTAGCACTTCAGCTTACTTAATACAGTTGACCGTTAATTGGACCCTTTAATCCGATTGATAAATCGGACGAAATCTGA